ATTCGTGCTTCTCATCCAAGAGGACAGGAAGCTCGTTCCCCTGAGCATCTTTGACCATGAAGAGTGACTCCTTCCACTTGGTCCATTCGCATTGGGACTGCAGCCAGCCCAAGCCAAGGACAGCGTCGAAGGGGCACTTGTCAAGGACAAAGAAGTTCAACGCGTGGGTGACAGTCTTGCCTTTGTCAAAGGTAGTGCGCACACCTTTGACTGCATGCGTGGAAGAGACAACTTCCTTGTTGCCAACTTGGGTTCGACAAGGGTTATGCAAGGCCACTTTGCTTTATCCCCAAACCCACCTTGCGTATCCCGTGTGGTGACATGAAATTAGCCGTAGCACCACAGTCAACCAGAACACGGAGATAGCGGTGGTTTATGAGGAGTTTGAAGAAAATCAACTTTACCGTCCCTTGGGCACACTGCTGTTTCATCTCAGCCCAATGCTCCAAGTGGTAGTGAAAGTCGATTGCCCCAGACTCCTCCCAAGGCTCGTCATACAAAACATTGCTTACCTTAGCCTTGTATTCAGCAGATGGTTGGGCTTCAAGGGAGGGCTGCTGATTTTCAACAGAAACGGACTCCCTTGTTGTAGAGTTTGTTGAAACTGACTCTGCGCCGATTCATGTTTCCCTGCAGCCTATAACAGTCCTGAACCTTATGGTTTGGTTTTTGGCAATGCAGGCAAACCCCTTTCTTGAGTCTGCCTCGCCAGTCATTCTCAGTGATCCGGAGGTCAACCCAAGGTTCGGTAGACGCATCCTCCGGTTTATGCGGGATCTTGACTCCCTTCGGAAGTTGGACATAATTCTTCCCGGCACTCCGATTCGGTCCCTTGGCACAAGCAGTCTTTTTGAAGGCAGAAAAATTTTCTTCTTCTTAATTTGCATCGGACTCATGGGCCGAAGAACAAGCTGTATCGAAGTCCTGTTCTTGGTCGTCACCAAGAGTAGGGTCATCCGCATCGGCTTCTTCTTCGGCCTCCAGCAGGTCATGTGCAGCAAAACGGCTGCTGCCCTTGAACCGTCTGCCGCCCATAGGCTTTTTGCTGTCTGCCGTGCTAACGAGGTCTATAGCCTCCAAACTGACGATGTCCTTCATTAGGATAAGTCAGTCAGTGTATGCAATGTAGTCCCTGCCCAGACGATTAGTGAAGTTAGTTGGAACCGTGCCCTTAACCACATTTAAGCAAGACTGAGCAGTCAATTCCAAACCAGGTGTAGCAAACATCTTGCTTAGATAGGTCTGTAGGCTTTTCATGGAATCCGTCCACTTGTTGCGCTTGACTTTGTCAAGTTGAATTCTTGCCCTAGCCGCAGCATGTGGATCCTGATATTGTGAGATAAGGAGATCCTCGAGGGAGGCAACCAGGGTGGTCCTAAGCCATTTGGCTAGTGCAGTCTTTCGGAACCTAGCCCGTGTCGCTTGGACTTCTAGGAAGCCCCGTATGATCGGCTCGGCATTCATTCCCATGATCACTGCCTGGGTCTCAGGTTGAGTCCCCAGAATCTCAAAATAAGGCCTCATGGAGCCGATCCAGGACTCGATGTTTTCCTTGCCGTCATACTTGGACGACATTTGTACCGCCTTTCGGTCCACATAGGGACCGGCGTAGCTGAGACCAGCACCTACTGATTCCAACCTTGGGGCTACAGCAGTTGCAGAATTCCCGGCCTCGTCGCTGGTCACAGCAACAGCGGAATCTGCACCTGTTGCAGGTCCCGAGGGGGTTGCCAACACATTCAAGGAAGAAGATATGGTGAGAGAGGCAGAAGTAGTCTCGATCGCAGCCTCAGACCCAGGGGGTACAGGGAGAGGATTGACCACTTGGGCCTGTCGCAGCTCAGCCACCTCTTGTGTCAACTCTTGATACTTTAGGGTCATATCAGTCAGGTCGTCCTTAAGTTTTCGCAATTTTGCGAAGACGTCAGTGATCTGAGTGTTATGATCTTCAATATTCCTGACTTGAACAAGGGCTGTGAGTATGTACTATAACTATTCCCCACACTGCTCTTCACTTACTGAGGGAACAGTCTCTAGGATAGTCACTTGCCTTTTTAGCAAGGTCTCCTTCCTCTCCTTCTCTGCCTCCTGTTCCCTTTTAATTGCACTATCTAAAAGTGCTTGTAGATATGGTTTCTCGGCATTACTGACTGCATCTAACAAAGCCCGCCATTGCACTGAAGTTAGCTGAGCCATTTTTGGACTGAGTATGGACAGGTGGGTCAGAGAGTCGCCAGTCAGCAAAAGAATCAATTAGACTCTCAAGAGGTTCACTCCCCTTCTCACTTGGACAAACACTCCTTTGCCCAGTCCTTGCCCACTTCAGACGGTCACTTTCCCTCTCTCCCTTTTCTCTCTCCCTCCTTTCCCTCTCTTCGTTCTGCTTGCGAGTCTCCACGGGCATCGGAAATGAACTCAGAAAGACAAACTTGAAAGCTCAAAGAAGAGAAGATAGAACTCCTAGCCGGAGCGGCATTTCATTTGGAAGTAGAGTGCAGCAGACGAAAGAAAAACAAACAAATTCAAACGAGAGGTCTGATCCAGCGACCCAGTCTGATCGGACTGCATACGAGGTCCTCTCGAGTCCAGTCTGACCAGCTCCGTGACCGTAGAGCAAATCAAACAACGAGTAACTAAATGCAACAATGGAGAATTGAGTGGTGTACAGGGTGCGAGTCAAGCCACGGACGGTGCAATTGCAGAAAGAAATGAATGAACTTGAGAGGAGAGAGAGGATTAGAGGAAGAAGAAGAAGTAAGAAAGAAGAAGAAGAAGATGTACACCAGCAAAGACAATGACAAGGCTCTCCTTCTTCGCCCAACAATCTCCTCCTCCTTATCTCCCCCTTCTCTTATTCATACAAGAAATAATAATACAATGTTGAATGACTGGTCCAGAATCAATGTTCGAGTCCCTCTTCTACTGCAGGTATCACTCAAGGTCCACCATAGCCATGGCCGCCTCTCCCACTATTATGCCCAAAGGACAACCCAAAGCAGCTATGGATGCTCTAGCTCAGGCCGCCATGCCCAACCCTGTCTTGAAGCTTCTTGGTGTGGCTCTCCCCGGTTGGGGACTCCTTGCTGCAGCGCCCACCAAGGTGATGAAGATGGCTGCCACCATAGCCAGGTAAGTACCCCTGGCGCTCCTCCCCCTTCCTTCCTCCTTCCTCCTTCTTCCTCCCTCATGTCCTTCTCCTTCCTCCCCAGCAGCGCTGCTCCAGCCAGCGCTCCACCAGTGTGTCGCCAAACTTGCACACCAAAAAAGAGGCCGGGTCTTCCGCTCGGCCTGAAGATATAGCGGCCTGCTTTGCCTCTTGGGCGTTGACTTCCAGGCCGCTGGCCTTCCCAAGCAACCGGTACCTCCTCCTCTTTTGGAGGGAAACATCATTGCAGACTCCGATATTGCCCCTACACGCCCCAGACACAGACTGGTACCCGCTAGACCTAACCTACACTACCGGCCTCTAAAAATGCCACTTTTGTCTTCTTCTGCTTGGCCTCTGGTACCTGCATGTTTACCGCCCTGCCGGGTGCGGCACCGGCCTACCCGCTACTTGAGTGCTTTTTCCCCGCTGCAACCCTTCAAAGCGACGGCCACAGGTAAGTACTGGCCCTGAGGGCCCAACGAACGAACAAGTGCCCTGGCGGGCCACACACACACACTCATACCAACCAGCACACAGACAGGCACAGTCACACGCACGCAAGCCAACCAGGACTCAGACAGACATGCAGTTCAGCAAGCNGCACACAGACAGGCACAGTCACACGCACGCAAGCCAACCAGGACTCAGACAGACATGCAGTTCAGCAAGCACACACACACACAGACTTAGCAGGCGGGAACTCAGTAGGGCATTCAGTCTATGAGCAAAACTCAGAAACCAGCTGTGTTTCAGTCCATGTTTGGACGGGTTATCACACCCCACCCTAATCGGTGGTGGTCAGGGCGTAGGGTGGGGCCGCCGGTGGGGGGGCCGGCCGGCTAACGCAAGGACCGATCATTTTGCCAGTAGCTGGCCGCTGGTGGGGGGGGCGGCTAATGCAAGGACCAATCATTTTGCTAGTAGCTGCGCCTCCCTTCTACGTCCCCCCAGCCGTCGAGTAAGAGCAGTGTCTATGGTCAGCACGCTCCCACACACCACACACAACTCACCCACACACACACGCCCACACCTGCTATGGCCAATAACCCTACCAATATCGAACAGGGGGAGCAAGCCAACTATCTCAGCAGGTTGGCACCAAGAGTGCCACAGGCGGATAGTGGGGATTGAACCCACGACCTGCCGAATGCCACTGGATGCTAACCAACAGAGCTAGGCCGCTTGCTCCACACGTGAGCTTCCGCGTTTCGAGAGTGTGGAAGGAACCATAAAAGATCAAGCATTCGACTCCTTGTCGCGCCTCAGGTTGGTGCGACCGCTTTTTTGAGGGGTATCGCTATCTCCGGGCGACGTGGTGAGTCCTTGTCCATTATCAAATGCATCCTCGGCATACACACTGTCGAGGGTCAACCTCCTGGTGAGTCGGCGAAAGTCAGAGGAAACAGTCTGGGCACAGCCATGCTTTCTCTGTGGAGTTGGAGTTTTGTATAGGGAGCACACACACACACACACACACACACACACACACACACACACACATACAGCGGATATGACAAAACACATACATGCACACACTCGCAAACACACATACAGCGAATATGACAACACACATACATACACTCACAGATACTGTCCGGGTTCAACCTCCTGATTAGTCGGAGAAAATCCGACGACACAGTCTGGCGCACTCATGCCTTCTTTGTGGACTTGTGTTTAGGACGACACGCACGAATTTGAGATATGGTTCAAATGGGAAAAACTGCATTAAAAAAAAAAGGGAAAAAAAGCCACAAGAGGTTCAAGACACAAACTCACAAAAAAAAAAAGACGGAAAAGAAGCACAGTCGGGAAGCAGTTGTTAGGCCTGGCCAAAAGTTTTGCTGGACGACGTTGACGAAGACGAGCATCGCCGGACGGACTGTCGACCGATCGCTGCTCTTCACGCAACGTTGATCCAGCCGCATACACCCATCTGGTAGCCATGGCGAGTATGGCAGTCCGGGCGGCTATGGCCGCCATGACTGTGACATCAACAACAACGGGCGCCGTTCGCGCACTGGACGTGGGTGAGGGTGTCCCTCGCCAGAGCGGCCATGTCTGCTATGGAGGAGGAAGCTGCATGGCTGGATCACGCTCAGCAGATAGTGCTAAAAGCAGAACGGCCCTCGTCGCGTTCCGTCCGAGTCCCCTCGGCACTTTGTCACCGGAGCTGGCAGAGGCGAGGCGCTCCTGCGGTGGATCTGTCACGAAACAGGCTGCAAACTGCGCTTTCGGAAACGACCCCACAGCGACACGTGTCACCCATCCATCCCACGTCGTCAAAGCAACGACGACTGTAGTCGATGGGCTACCTCTCGATCCCGTCGGCGATGATGTGCGTACGCTCTCCCTCCCTCCCTCTCTCTCTCTCTCTCTCTCTCTCTCTCTCTCTCTCTCTCTCTCTCTCTCTCTCACACACACACACACACACACACACATATATCTGTTTTTAAGAAACCATTTACACACACACACACACACACACACACACACACAAAAACCTACGCAAATTACAGTAATACAAAATAGAAACTTCATAAGAAAATTCATAAGAAACCACACTCACACACACACACACACACACACAGACACACACCCACACCCACACCCACACGCACACCCACCTCCCTCCTGATGAGTCGGTGAAAGTCCGACGAAACAGTCTCGCACAGTCATGATTTTTTTTCTGGGGTTGTCTATAGAGAACATGACAACACACACACACACACACACACACACACACAGAGTACGAAAAGAAGAAAAAAAGAGCACACACAGGTGCGCACACACAAACACCCCCCTCCGCGCACACAAACTTCCCCCACCGTCTCCGCCTCTCTCTCCAGACACGCGTTCACATAGATGCATCTGTCCATGCGCAAGCACGCACACACACAAGCAGCACCGCAGTGCGACGTCCCAAGAGACAGACACACACCCACGGACTGGCACCAGGGAAACACACCAACTCGATCGCACAATTGGCCAGTTCCCTGCTCGTTCCGGAGGTGTCACAGTGGCAGATGTTGCCACAACAGTGAAGAAAAAAAAAAAACCCTGCCACCTTTCTCAACAAGCAGCGAGACCTCTGCCAGCAGCGATCATGACGTCCGCCATACACTCCGAGATTGAAGGGCTGCCTGCTTCTACCAAATGAGCTTATTGCGCACTGTAAGGGAAGTACTGAACATGCTCTAGCCCATGCGCTTGCCCTCCTTGGGGTTGGGCATACGCCTATGGGCTCGAGAAAAATTGGCAGGAGGCTCCCTTTTCACAGGCGTGGCCAGTGTTAAGGAGATGACGAGGGGAACTAAGATCTCTTTCTTCTTGTTGCAGTTAATACGTGGAAAACACTGACCGTGGGATCAAAAGTCATTGAAGGGCAGATTTGGGTTGTTCGACTGCCGCACAAACTATTCTCTAACCTATCCCGTTGCTGATCGGACCCCCCTCCAAATGCCCAAATCCCGATTTTGGTGGTTGAGGTGGACCTGTAAACTCGTCGCAAATTTTGTCAATTTGTCAAAACAGGCCCTAGTGTGAGTATGTACTCAGCTTCACGCGGTCCCCCCCCCCGCGCGCGCGCGCGCGCGCGCGCGAGAGAGAGAGAGAGAGAGAGAGAGAGAGAGAGAGGGGAGGGGGAGTGGGAGTGTGTCCGGACTCTATCCCTCCAAATAAATAGGCATGCATGCAAGGGCAATCAAGCTGGCTTGTAGTAATGAAAGAGCCATCTCACGTGGCTTTGTGAGCACTTTTTGAGGGGCAAGATCAGAAATAGCCAGCCAGTTTGTGAATACATGAAACAACTATGAGCATGATAAAACGAGCTACCCCCATGAAAAAAATTATATGGGAAAAAAAACTGTAGCACTTTTGAAGGGGCACTTCTGAAGGAAGAGGCACTTTTGAAGGGGCATGATCATGAATAGCCAGTTATGACACGAGTTCTATTGCAAAGTAGCAACTACCTTCTTCCCCCGAATACAACGGACGGTCATTATAGCTGTATTTAGACTGAAAGATGCCCCAAATTCAGCTATAATGACCGTACGTTGTGTTCGGGGGAAGACTGTAGTCTCCCCTGACTAAGGGGCAAGAACATGGAAAGTGTGCGATGCTCTGAGAGCATACTCACACTAGGACTTTGGACGCTATTGCGGTCATATGCATCCGTCAGACATATCCACAAAAGTGCGAGTGCGATACTCTGCATGCCAGGCAAACTCGGCCTAGCTCAGTTGGTAAGGCTCGCAAGTGGCATTCAGGAGGTCATGGGTTCAATCCCCATTGGCCTCATGACCTTCCTGGGCTTACTTGGCACCCGCTACCCAAGAGATAGACCACTGGATCCCCCGATCGGCATCAAGCAGTCTGCTATGTTCGTAGGGGAGGGGCCTGAGGGGAGGCACGGGGGATTGGTTCGCTTTATCCCTGGTGCTACCGGCCGTCCCCTGGCCGGTATCCTGCAGGCTCGAGGGGCCGTAAAAACACGGCTCTGGTATGCTACGGGTTTCCCCGTATGCCTATAAGTAGGAGTAGTGGTAGGTAGGTAGTGTGAGGAAAAAATGAGAGAAGAGTCTTTTATAAAAAAATAAAAGTTAAGGAAAACAGTTAATCCCCTCGGCAGGAGGCGAACAATGCTGTTCGCGGAGGTACACTGACAGAATTTTGTCGAAGCCTTGAAGGCACATTGGACCCGGGGCCTCGCCCCACATGCCATAGAATAGTATAGTTTACTCGTCCGTGTGACGGTGTGGGACGGTGAGGAACTTTTGATTGTATTTTATACGGACGGTGGGATGATGCATCCCGCCATTTAGGGCAGTGAGGCGTAAGGCTCCGTTTTCTCATTGGTTTAGAGTTGCTTTAGAGTTGCTTTAGGGGTCCCGCGCGGAATGGATGGAGAGGCAATAGGGTGTAGTTTATTTAGGGCAGTGAGGCGTAAGGCTCCGTTTTCTCATCGGTTTCGCGGAATGGATGGAGAGGAATGGATGGAGAGGCAATACGGTGTAGTTTACTAACCTCTTTTTTTTGGCGTAGAATACTGTTCCTTTCGCTGGTCTGTGGACATGCACAAAGGACAAATATCATGGCAAGTCTCATGGCGACTCCAAGGGCCTGGCTGCACTATTCTCCAAATCTGTCTCATCCTCTCACTATTGGCATCTTTTTTGTCTTTTGCACATATGGAGAGCACTGCAGCCAGGCCCCAAGGGTGGTTTTCTTCTTTTTTTTTTTCTTTTTTTTTTCCCACTAGTACGTCCGAGCCTGTTTTTTCAAACCCTGAATTTCACTGCGCTCAGAGTTTTGCCGAGCCGGGTACCACTCCATTTTATTTTTTTATTTTATTTTTTTAATGTGGTCCGATGGACGACGGATCAGATATGAAACTGATCAGAACAGATACTACAGATTCCAGAAACGAAAAACAAAAAAACAAATGGAAACACGGATTCTGCCGTGAAAATGGATGGATACATTCCTCTAAGCGCCATAGTGATCCCCATTACAATCCTCTGAGGAAACACAGCTTGAGCAAATCACGGATTCCGCTGTCAGATTCCAGAAAGAGAGTGAGGGAAAAAAAAAATGGGAACACCGATTCGGCCCTGAAAATGGCTGGATACATTTCTGTAAGTGCCAGTGTGATGAGGCTTACAATCCTCTGAGGAAACACACAAAGGGCCTCGCCTCATTACTGTGGTTTCCCGCCTTCGACTGTCACACAGACTAGTAAACTATACTATTCGATGGCATGTGGGGCGAGGCCCCCGGTTTCAGGCAGGTGCAGCTCCCCACCAATAGATTGGAGACATCAAGAGGGGGGGCGGGGGGGGGCAGAGGGGAGGGGGAAGGAGGGGTAGGAAAAAGGAATAGCCAATTTCAGATCTCATTATACTACTGTACATGAAAAAAAACTAAGTATAATAATGTAATTACATTATTTACATATAGTTACATATACATGATGAAATTGGATTATATAGTATATACTATATAGTATATACATGATACAAAGTTATGAAAAAACTGTGTACAGAAAGTGTGCAAGGTGCCAATCGCAGGCCCATTAAAAAGAATGGAATGTTTCGCTAAAAAAAAATTGTGAGCAATTCCACGACTATCTCTGATTCTCTGCATATTAAGAAATGTAACATGTTAAAATTTAGCATAACACCTTGACAGAAGCCACAAAATGGCCGTTGCCTGATTTTTTGTGCAGAAACGTCTTTGGGGGGGGGGGGGGGGGGGGTATTGACATCATGACATGATAGGTAAAGCTTAAGCTAGCCCAACGCCATGCTCAGGTTTTGGTAGGGCAACTAGTTGTAGACGTGTCAGAGTTTGGCCACTTCCTCATTGGCGAATGGGGAGCGGAAAAACGAGAAGAGAAAAAGTGACAAAAATTGAAACCTCTTCTCTGCAAAAACGCAAGGTGCTCCTTTGCTGCTATCAGCCTGACGACGTGAGAAACAGTTTTCTGGGGCAACGTCCGGATATAGAAAACACACACACACACACACACACACACCTCCTGATGAGTCGGTGAAAGTCCGACGAAACAGTCTGGTACAATCGTGCTTTTTTTGTGTATAGCGAATATGACAACACACACACACACACACACACACACACACACACACACTGTAGCATATCAGAAAGTGAAATGCACTGAGAGCCTAGGATCTAGCAATGACGAAAGTGGCAACAACCAGCAGCATAGGTGCAGCATTCACAAGATGTCAATGTGCACGGTGCAAAGAGTGAACCAATGAGAACTCAACAACAACACATTCGTATCATTATCATCATGGGCTGGGAAGCAGCGCAGCGGAAGATTTAGTAATCAAAAGGACACGTGGACCAACAACATGAAAGGGAGAAACTTCGGAAGGGCAAGACATCAGAAAAATTGCCCTTCCGCTCACACACATGGGGAGAGATCCATAGACATGAGAGAGGGAAGGGGGAGGGACATAGGAGGTAACCAAGTCCAACCCAAGTCTGATCTCCGAATGTCGTACACAGTTCGATCCCAATGTTGAGTGTAAGTCCGATCTGAATGTCGTGTCCAATAAGGCAGAATGCCGTGTCCAAACAATGTCTGCAGTTACCTCTATCTCTACTCTGAAGAAGAAGAAGAAGAAGAAGAAGAAGAAGAAGAAGAAGAAGAAGAAGAGGAGGAAGAAGAACTTCGGAGGAGTAGGAGGAGAAGAGGAGAGGAGCAGAAGAAGAAGAAGAAGAAGAAGAAGAAGAAGAAGAAAGCTAGGCGCTTTGTGCACTTCTCTGGCGATGGCTGAACTGCAGATACCGCGGAGCCAGCTATGGCGCTGG